AATTCTGAAGGACATTCAGTGAGAAACAGTGACTCCTGCTCTGATGTAAAGATCCAGCAAGAATAATTGTGCAGATAGTAAATAAGAATTTGGAAGACTTAACTGCTCTATTCCTCATGCAGTCAGCTTCTACTGTAATAACTCACTGAAAGAATGGAGTGCCTGCTGATGTTTTGAACTTGAAATATCCCAGACCAGGGAATGCAGAATTACTTATTATATGAAAGACAAAATTCTAAGAACTTTTCCTTTTATTTTTTCTTTTACTTTCCTATTATTTCTTGGTTTACAGCAAGACTATCCTAAAGTCTATGCATCTTAAACAACTCCTGAGCGGGGATAGACTAATGATGCATTTAAACTGATGGTAATTGCCTTAGCATTGACCCAGAAAGGAGCAGATATGACATATGGCCTTATATTCTATAACTTACTAAAATCTGGTGTGGATTTTTGTGGATGATATCTTTTATTGGACAAATTGATTGGGATAAAGTTAGATGAGATTTCACAAACCTGATGAGAATGCCTTGCATTCAGAAGCTTGTCTGACTTTATCCCAGCCATGCAATTGGTCCAATAAAAGGCATTACCCACAAAAATCTTTGCTTCTCGCATATTTCCTGGACCATCACAGCTACAACATCATTCCAACACTACTAAAATCTGATGTAGAATTACTGCAAGAAGAACCAGCAGTAAAAAATATAGTGTAGTTTACAGACAAAACTCTTAGTTTAGAGGCAATATCTTTTATTAGACCAACTAAATAGTAGCAAAAAAATTTCTTTCTTTGCAAGTTTTCAGGTCCAAACACCCTTCATCAGGCAGAGGAGAATGCAGAGATCATAAAAGTTCTCTAAGGTAGAAAAGAAACTTCATCTTCCACAGGGGAGGTGAAGGATGGTGAGGTTCCCCTGGGTTTCAAAGTCTATTTGTGAACAAGTTGCTGAATATGTAGATTAGGCAAGCACAAAGCTCCCGCAGGTTTCTTTCCTGAAGGTCTCAGCTGTCAGGCAGGGAGTTGAATTTTGCTTTTTTCCTGTTTAGCAATGAAGTTTACACTTCCAAATGGCTAACTACAATATCTTCCATGTTTCAGGTATATAGCTCGTAGCTGTGTTGGTCTAAAAAGTAGACTATTAGCACTGTCAGGTGTGCAAACATGATTCATAAGATAAACCCAGAAATTTCAAATAGTAATTCATAGTGTTAAAACCATTCTTACCTTTGTGGTTTTTCTGAGCTCTTGGCAACAGAAAAATTCTTTGTTATTTTTTCTGTAGTCAAGAAACGAATGAAAAGTAAGTTGGCATTTTTCAAGAAATGCCTTGAGTCTAAAAATGTTGAGAACCACTGCTCTAATGGTACCTAGTGCAACAGCTATTCTGATCTGTCCAATCTGGAGTCTAGGGTAATTTACATAGTGGATGAAACCAGTGTTAACATTGTATTGTGCAGCCTCAAGGACACATGGCCAAATTCTCAGTTAATGTAATTTGACATGGCTCCATTTTGATTCATACTAAATGGTAACCTGGCCCACAATCACCATAAAATACCAGTGGCATCTTATCTTAGCCGTACAGTTGAGTAGTTAGCCACCATAGCCAAGATCTGGATTACTTCTTTCAGTTAATATGTATGTAACAGTGGGGATAGATTGCAGTAAAATAAATTGTAGAATATAAAAAGTGCACTTTTTATGTTGCCCTTTTTTATCTTGTATATCTCTGCACATTGAAGTCAGTGGCATTACCGTGGTTTTTCTAATGGATTGCAATAGTTGGCAGATTATATGCAAATTTTCATCTTTAATCTACTTTTTATATGAATCTTTTTCTTTCAAATTTTACCATTTCCTCTCTGCCTGCAAGTTTTAAAGGGATGCTGTTGCTTTACCACTAACATTTTCCTTGCCATGACATGAAAGCATGTTTCCAGTCAGTAGATAAACATGATTTTTGAGCAGAATATCAGACATCACTGTCACCTTTGGTGTCAAGCAAGTGAGGAAAAAATGGGAATGTAAAAGCCTTTTTTGTGATTAAACCATGATGGAGGAAGCCACAAGCTGTTTTCTTTTTTAGCCACTGGTTGAAGCTTGAGAGCAAACCTTATGACATTAAGTCTATGTTTACTGTCCAAAGGGTATGAAAGGGAAATCAAACATTCTTCATATCATTAGTTAGCAGTCTGCAAACAAGATAGTCCACATCACCATGTCTAAGGTCAGTCTCTGTGTATAAACAGCAAAGTACTGTTTTCTCTGGCAGTGCCTGCATGCTATTTCTTGTTACGTTAAACTGACCTGGAGTGCAGTGTATTATATTAAGCAGTCTCTGGACCTTCATTTCAGAGGTGGGACAGGGGGCCAAAGTTCATGGCATGAAAGTTGTGTGAAAGGATACAGTAGGTGCTTATACAGAGTTTCACATGGCCTGGGCTTAGAGATAAGTGAAGCTATGTCATAAGACAGCATAAAAATACAAGCCCTAAAATAAGGAAATGAAGCAATTACTGTCATGTTTGCCTGCGTGGAGAGAGTAAATGGTTGTGCCAATGTGTGTGTTGTTATGTGTCTGCCCTGAGCAAACTGTTGTATGTGAAGGGAGGCAAATCAAACAGAAACAGCCAAAAAAAGGTGTTTGCCTTTTAGTTATCTGTGTAGTTAATCTCTTTATCTCCAAATACTTAAAGGCTACTGGTTGAGATTGATAGCTGCATGTTTGAATATCAGAGAAACCTTTCCACCAATTTGGTGAAAAGGTAGCTTTAGTGTGGTCAGGAGTTAAGTGCATTTTCTTCAATAGCCAGGATTTAGCAGTGTTTACTCTGATCAAAAAAGAAGGGAACTATACAAAGGGAAAAGATTTCCTGCCACCTTTTGGACAGTGCTGGTGTGACTCTAAAAAGATGTTAGTTAGCAGTGTTAGCCTGAAATTAGGCAGGGTAGGGTGGCACTTTGTAGACTACAAAGAAGCATGAGATTTTGTAGACAGCCTACTTTGTCAAATGCTATATAGCCTATAGCCTACAAAAGCTTATGCTTCTTTGAACAAGGTAGTCCATAAGGTGCAACCCTGCCCTGCCTTCTGACTAAAAGAAAAATAAAACTCCAGTTCAGTTGTTTGGACTTTTTTTGCACACCGTTCTTATTGGCTCACTAGCTACATGATAAACAGCACTTCCACCGTCAAAAATGCTTTTGATTCAATCCATCAAGCAGCTTTTCCCTTTGTACAAACACATAAGCTACCTCAAAGGCTGCGTTCTGGCCTGACTTTATGTGCTCTGTGAAAAACAGGTAAAATTTCTAAAATCAAAACCAGATAACTGGTGTCTTTGCCTGCAGCTGTGGAAGCAGGACAGGATTCTGGAAATTAGGAAAATGTTTTTACAGTAATGCAATTTGGGGATTTTTTCTGGAAATGTGACACATTCTTATGAGATCTGAACAGTGGGGTTTTAGCATGAATATATTTAATGAGGACGGTATAAGGATTGTTGTCTTGAATTATTCTGACCTTCCCTCAAGTTATGGTGCATTGGTTAGAGACTAAGCTCAGTAAACCAGGAGGTCTATCCAAGCCCTGCATTCCTGTGTTCATTTGAAAACATTGCTTATAAGACGAGTCCTTATCGCTGTGGTATATGTGACTATTAGTAGTCACTAGGGCTGTGTGAAGCTTTGGTCCCCGATTCTATTTGGTGGAGATTCGGCCCGATTCGGTGGCCAAATCTCCAAATCCAAATTGAATCAGGAGACCCTTTAATCTCTCCGGAACCCTCCGAATCGATTCGGAAAGATTTGACAATTCAGACATAGACACAGCTTTAAATGTTTTTTCTACATACCTCAGAAAAAGGGGGGGCTCCCCCTGTACTCCTGTGGGACACTCCATCCGCCCCAACATCACAGCGTTCACAAGCCATGCCTGGTACCTCGAGGTGTGTAGAAAAAACATTTAAAGCTGTGTCTATGGCCGAATTGTTGATCCTCCGAATCAGTATCAAATATTCAGATTCGGATTCAGCTGAATCAAATCAGGGACAGTGATCCGAATCAATGAATTGAATCACTGTCCCCAATTTGATCCAAATCGAATACGGCCCATTTCTCACACCCGTAGTAGTCACACAGCTGTGTACTGGTTGCACATTTAACCTGGCCATTAATCTAAGGACTCAGTTCAGTGGTTCATTAACAGACAAAATTCCCACTGAAACTGGGCTCATCAAAAATTAGTAGAATATAGTCACTTAACTCCTCCCAAGAAGCTCTTGTCACTTTAACGTACTGGTTTTCATGTAAGTGGAATAGAATCTCTCATGAACCTCCTTTGGGAGTATTAGGCACATAGGGCATCTTTACATGTGCTCTGAAGTGGGGTTGGGGGTGCTTTAATTAGAACAGTTCTCAGGAAGTACTCTAATTAAAGTGCCCACAGCATCTTGTGTATTCATCATCCCACACTTCAAAATGGCAGCGGGGAGTGCTTTAACTAAAGCCCGTTTGACAAGCTGTAGTTGAAGCACCCCCACTGCCATTTTGAAGTGCGGGGATGCTGAATAGACATGACACCAAGGCTGCTGGAGCTCTAATTAGCACACTCCAGCAGACTCAGTCAGGTCTACTCTGATGCATGCTAATTAGCATGCGTTGGAGCAGGCGACAGACTCATGTATAGGTGCCCATAGAGCCTGGTTCTTAGCTCGTGCAAATCAGCAAAACTTTGTCAATTCTACTGGAATCAAACAGATTGGCACCAGCTGAGAGTTTGGCCCATACAGTTTATTCCCTACCCTCAATATCAACTCTGGGGAAGTTGTATTCAAATATTTATGTTTATTTTCCTTAGACGATGTTGTGAAACTGTTGATAATCTATTTATTGGGGGTGGGGGTGAGGTGTGGAACATTTAGTCCTTGTTGCAGCATTATTCTAACTGTATTAAGAAGCAGATTGACTTTTGGGGTGGGGGGGTTTGGTTTTTTAGGTGAAACTTCCTTTCCCCGTTGATCAAATCACAGATCTTCCAAGGAACGATTTCCAGATGATGATAAAGATGCACAAGTTAACCTCAGAACAGTTAGAGTTTATCCATGATGTCCGCCGGCGCAGCAAGAACCGGATCGCAGCCCAGCGCTGCCGCAAAAGAAAACTGGACTGTATTCAGAACTTAGAATGTGAAATCCGCAAATTGGTGAGTCACGTGTGGCACCTTCACTTATCTCTGATAACTTTAATATCAGTTGAAGGACAGACAGGTATTCAGTGTGCTCCCAGTTCAGTCTGTAGCCAATATGTACATGAGGTAAGTCCAAGTGATCAATTTATTTTGCCATCACAAAGATAGATTGATAAGTGTAATAGAGGGGACCTTAGCACAGGGAGGTGGAGAGAGTTTAGATTACTTCCCTAGATCTACCCTTGCCATGTGTAAGTCATTATTAGGAATGCCAGTAAAAATACCTTATGGAAGGGGTATCAAAGATATGGCCCACAGAGCTCTCATCTGGCCTGTAGAGCTGCCTGTGGGTCTTGAACTGGGGTGCTGTAGGCAGCATGCACTGGCCTTTCCCTTCATGGAGCCCATCTAGTGCAGGCTGCACATGATACAAGGGTTGGAGCTGGCACACCCTGTGTGATCAGGTCCATAGACCATCCACACATGCTGGATTCAGTGTGCAGGGCTGGTCTGGCATGGGCAGAACATGCTGCTCACAGCATGCAGGGGCTGGAGCTGATCTGCACTGTATACAGTGCACAGGACCAGTCTGGGGCATTTGCTGTATGCGATGTTTGCACCAGACTGGCACTGCATGCTGGATCCAGGACCAGTCTGGATTGGGCTTATAGACCAGCCCCACATGCCAGAACCAGCACTTAGAGCTGATCCAGCACAGGCACCACATGCAGCATATGCTCCAAACCGGTTCTGCATGCCATGTGTAGCACATGCCCTGGACTGACCTGTGGAGTTGGTGCAGGCTGGAGCCAGTGCATGGACTGCAAGCAGCACATGGGGGCCAGTCCATGGCAAGTGCTGCACCAGACTGGCCCTATGCACTGGTTCCAGCATGTGGCCCACATCTGACCCATGGGGCCACATGAGTTTAATTTCCTTGCCGTATGGTGAGAGAGGTGGGAAAAGTCAATAAGTGAGTGCTTAATTCAAGTAAGTGCTAATTTACACTGTGTAAATTTAGTCTAGACGGTTGAGCCCTGGATTAGAGATTAGAAATGATTGACTGATTACTTGAAACTCACCCCTCTCTCTGGCCCCCCACAAGTTACATAGGGTGGAAACAAATGTCAACTGATGTCTCATTTGTGATGCCATAAACGTATTTATGGCAGCACAAGTGCTGAGCAAATGGACGCCACTAGCCTTTGTTGTGCTAAGTCAAAAGAAAATCGGTGACATAACAAAAGGTAGTAATAGACTGCTGCTTTGTTGCTCTGAAGTCTGCAGCCACACTGGGCAGGTGGTCTGGGGGCTTAGGGACCCCACAAGACCCTTGTGCACCTGCACACTTTCCCCACTTACAGAAAAGCACCCCAGGGAACCTTTCCCCACTCATCCAGACCCACCTCCAAAGATCACATTGCCCCTTGTCCTGCGCTATCAAGGCACATCATAGCACAGTTGATCTGCTTCATTCAGCCACATCTATTTCTAGCCTTGGAGACAGATCCTGCTTAAGGGATTGTGTGTGCATTTTGCATAAGTGAATCATTTTTTAAAATGTTTAACCATCTGTGGGAGCAGGAGTACCTTAATCGCTGGGCTACAGAATCACATTCCCTCTTGCTTAGTCTCATTCTGGCCCATGAATCTTGAATTTCTCACTGCCTAGTGGCCGTGCTTCAACAGGAGGGCTAGAAAGTGACCCCAGCCAGGCTTCCAGCTGTCCTAGGAATTAGGAGAGAGAAACTGAACCCGTTTCCTTTCCCCATTAGGATGAAGAGGAGCTTGTACAGTGAGTGTGCTAACACTGGACTATTATATCAGATCAATTTATATGCCAATATAAATCAGCATGTAAATCAAATAAAGAAATAAGAGGTGACTGACTATCCCACTACTGATTTAAGATGCTTGGCCATGCCTGAAGAGAGTAAGCCAGGCACATATATCTGAAGTGAATTGAGCAATGGACTTTGGAGAGTGGATCTAAAGCTGGAAGTAGACCTTGCTTTTGGGCTGCCATAAAAATGTTAATGGCAGCACAAAGTCCAAGCAGAGGTCTGTGCCCCTTGTTGCACCACAGATGCCAACAATTATGGCCATGACAATGGGTAGTAAAAATGTGTGTCACTTTTTTGCTTCCTTGTTTGTCTTACAGCAGAGCTGCCCATGCTCTCCAGGCTCCTCAGGCAGCCACTCCCAGGGCTTCAGGGACTTGACTCTGCACACACAGGGAATTCCCCTGCATATTTGAGCTCTTAGTCCTGGAAGTGCCTGCCTGAGTTCCCTTGTTTGCAGACACGTGTCTCAGGAATCCCTTAGTAGGGCTTTCACAGGGCGTGTATCGTGCTGCTGCTCCCTAACTCATAGTATCTGTGTTGCCAAATAAAGCAGATCAGCTCTGCTGGGACACATCCCACCACAGCTGATCCTACTCAGGGATGTCTGTTTATAGCTTCAGTCTCACAGATAAGTCCATCCAGGCTGCAGAAAGGCACCTAATTCTGAGAGAGAAGATATCCGTCTTCAGCATTCTCTGTTGGCCACCTTAGGCTCAGTACATCTCAACCCCAGTCCTAGTCCCTTTGTCTCTCTAAGGCATGAGGAATTTAGGCTCCTTACTTGGGCTTGTGGATTCCACTCCCAGAGATGTGCAGCTGCCATTTAGACATGAAAATGCCCATATCACCAAACCAGCACCCACTTTGAGATTTAGCCCTTACTCATGACTTTATTTCTCAAATAGGGCAACCAAGATAAATATAAGCATCTTGAGAGAAGTGCTGTGTGGAGCAACTCAACAATCTCTTTAAATACTTGCAGGAATCATTATTGCTGTGCTGGAGAAGGGGGTGTTTGTGTAGAGAATAGTCTCCCCATTGAGAACATTTTTTTTTATTTAGCCCAGGATAGTTCTTTTCCTTTTTTTGGATATTTCAGCTCATCACATATTATCTCCTACTTGTTGATTCACCAAGCAGACTAGAAACATTGGAAAGAAATTGAAGAACCATGATAAGGAGTGCAAATGTATAGAGAAACCCAGCAATAACAATAGGAATCTCTCAAATGAAAAAATACACCATCAAACCTACCTCCAGAGTTTTGCTCACAGCTGAGATGTGGCCAGAATGTCTTATTTCCTGGTGCCGATAGCAACGACCTCAGATAACTTTAGAATACATTCTCTGCTTGAACACTTCTGTGGTCAAACCAACCCTAAAAGCACCTATATGAGAAATAGTATCTTGAGTGTGAGATAGAAGTAAATGAGGTTGGTCAAGCAAGACCTACCCGCAACAAACCCATGCTGAGTATCCCTCAGGATATTGCTGTCAGCTAGTCTGTTAAGGCTAGAAAATTTGGGGCCTGTCCAGTTGATTATTAAGACAACAGGTTTCCCATTGGGAGTAGTTCTTAGTGTAGTTTTGTTAAAATAGTCTTGTTCAGCCATGCACTATGTAGCAAGAATGAGGCTGAGTCCAGTGGAAGAAGCCAGATAATCTAATGGCACAGAGAATGCAGAACATACTGTCTAACATGGAGCAAGTTACCTAGTCTCTCAGTGTCTCTCAGTTCCCTGTCTGTGAAACAGAGGTGACTTTTGGACCTCACAAGAAGGTAGGGAGACTAAGTCTATCAAGATTGGCAAAACATTCAGACACTGATGTTGAAGCCCTCAAAAAATAGGGACAAAGAAAATCTTTTTAGTCAGGCACATAAAGGAGGAGTCATATATTAAATAGCTGCTTGCTTCACTAAACATAATGTGTGGAGCAAGCAAGTTAGAGCTTGCTTCAGTGACCTAGTAAGGAAGGTACTCCTCTGGGTTCTGAATCTAGAACTAAGTTTTGCTTAGTTATTTAATACCAAATATACTTGTATTAAATAATTATTGGTCCACAATGTACAAAAGGGCTCCTTCACTCGCTCCCAGGGGAGTGTCCCCCCTCACTGGGCCAGAGTCAGGTTCTCTCTTGTTTTCTGTTAATTTCCACAACTCTTACACTTGTGGATGCCCAGTGGGCCCATTTCAAGATGGGGAGTAGAGGGTTCTCTCAGGCTAGTCTACTTCCTAATCTGCTGGTTAGGGATCTTTCCTAGGAAGTAGAAAATATGGGGCAAATGCCTCCTAGAAAGCCCAGGTCTGCCACTTTCTGAACAAGTGCCATCACTAGTAGGCCATTGAGAAAAAAGGTGAATAGGCCATCTTGCTTCTTCTTGTCCTGACCTAGGTGCAATTCAGTAAGCCATGGATTTTGGCAAGTATTTGTGAATTCTACATTAACATAAATGCTCAACTTGAGGTTGCATAAATGCCACCTATCTCCCAGAGAGAGTCAGAATTCCAGTCGCTTACCCCTTGTCTACACCTCCCTGCATAGCGTCCTGGCTGCTATGAATCCTGACCAAAAGACACTTAAATGTCTCATTCAAGGGCTGAAGACCCAAATACTTGAGGTGGTTAATTCTACTTAGGGGTGCACATGTGTAAATTTTGGCAAAACGAAGCATAACATTCTCATGCTGGACTCATTTTTAAATCTGGACCTAATTCCAGTAGCGAGGCTTTTATTCTGTATGTGCAATTAGCCATTAACAGAAAAGCACAACAAATGGCTTTTCTGAGCATGGAAAACTATCTGAGATTAGCTGTTGCCCCTTGAATTCACACCACACTTCACTCTAGATTGTAAAAGTAAAGACAAGTCCTGACTGGTTTGTTCCACATGCACCATAGCAGCTTAATTCTAACAGACTGGTATCATCCTTCAGGGGCAAAATTCCTTAGAACCCTGGTAGACGCTACACTTAAGACCTGATTAACCAGTTAATTGTGTCTTAAATAGTCTCCTGACCACACATTCAGACAATTAATGGTGCAATAAAAAGGAAATAAGCCACAACATTATTTCATAAAATACATAGAATAATTTTGTTGTGGTTTCCATCACACCTTAAATAGAAGATGTGACAGGGTCCCTGCCACACAACCTGGCTGCATGGTGAGGCTTTGTAACTGGCCCCAGTGCAGTCCCAAGGGTGGGACCCACAATCTCAGCCCCAGGACCACACCACAGTTGAACCAGCTCCAGTACAGTCCTAGGGCTGAGATCAACAGTCAGTGATTGTCAGACCCAGCCTGGGGACTGCACTGGAGTAAGTTTGACATGCTGCTGTAGTCCCAAGGCTGGAACTAATAATCAGCTGCTTGCAGGTCCCAGCTCTAGGACTGCACCCGAGTGTCAAACTCACTTCAGGACAGTCCCAGGACTGGACCAACATGGCAAATAGTAATGGCATGTTTGGGATCTAATCCCCAATCCCAAAATCACATGTCCTACCATGCACATGTGACATAGCAGGAGGTGCAAATGTTGGGATCAGGGAACCGATCCCATCACACCATTAAGTGAACCGATGCCAGGGATCTTAGATCCTTATAATTCTGCTAAATCCAAGACAGGAGTCCTTGTCACTATGGACCAAGGCCTCTGATAGATTTCAAGAATCAAAAATCTTTTCTTAAGGGGAAAACACTTACTTTTTCTCAAATAAGTCTCAAAAACATGATATAGGAAATAGGCTGTATATGCCTGTATAATATAATTGTATATAAAAAGATTATGGTAAAAGAATCCTAAATAAAGTTTGGAGAGGTTAGGAAATGACAACATTAAGATAGCTCAGGTAACCTTAACTCTCCCTCCTTGACTGTAAGCATTTCAGGACATTTGTCAGGACTGCATGTTAGTTTTTTCCTTTGGAACACAAACAGCTAAACTCCCCATTGACTTAAATTGCCACATGATCACACCCTTTCATGAAATTACTGTGCCACACTCCGTGGGTGACCATTATGTCCCCATTTCACCATTTATGGAATACCACCTAGACTGCTTTACTTTTTATTAAAAATGGGATTTTCCCACTGTCTTTATTTTCTATTCCTCAGCTGCCTTCAGCCACTAGTGGTTTACTAGGCAGTATATGAAATGGTATTCCTTGCAGTTGATATTAGTCTTTTTTTGTATGCTTTCCTCATAGACCCATCTTTCTGTTCACTTACCTTCCCCGTCATCTGCGCGCGCGCGCGCGCGCGCGCGCGCACACACACACACACACACACACACACAGAGTATATTCTCTTACATAATGTATCCCCTTCTAGATGCACTTTGGCATCTGCTTAATACTTTTATGCTTGCTTGGTAGATTTATCAGTATTTTAGGAAGTGGTAGTTCTCGTGTAATCTCTTCTCTCTGTCTCTCTCCTATACTCGTGGCTTCATTGAAGCTGTATGATCCGAGCATGGGCTTTAGACTCATCATAAACTAAAGATCACTGTCATCTTGCAGCACTGGGAAAGTATCTTTTAATACACAAAACTTCACTCAGTAATTTTATGCCATTGTCTGTGTTATGTAGGAGGTTAGACTAGATAATCATGCTAATCTCTCTTCTGGCCTTAGATTCTAGTTTGTTGTTTGTATGAATTCAAACCTTTCTTTATTTGTTATTTTCCTAGTATTTAAAGTAATTTTTTCATTAAAAAAAACCCTTTTCTCACTCACTCACTGTGTATGTAAATTGAGCTGTGTATTCCTTCTTTTCTATAATACTTCTATGAAGTTCAAAGTCCTGCATGAGATTAGTTCTGGTTATCTGAGAGACCCTCTCTCTCACTCCTTAACTTCCTCCCATAAGATCTTCATTCCACTGGTATAACAAGACACTCAGCAATTATATGCCTGAATGGGAGGAGACATGTGAGTAGAGGACACAGTTTCCACCTGTGCAGCACTAAGCCTGTGAAACACACTGGCAGAAATAGGAAAAACTGTTGCAGACTTTGTTGCATTCAGAGCTAAGTATAAAATCCACCCAACCCTTTCTCCCCCTATCCTAAGGCTGGAAGGGGCCTTCTGGGCAGTTGGGTCCAATCCCTGCATTTGTGGGCAGTCTTTAACCATACAAATCCCTCAAAGCACAGCTTCTATCCCCTGCTCGCAACATAATGAATAGTATCTGAAAAGCACCTTCATGGTACAAGTCCTTGTTAGTAAAGAAAGGGGGAGAGATTATATTGGTAGCGATCTCACAATGGCTAATGAAGACAGAATAAGTCAGATACTGCTGGTTTCGTTCCAGTAGAGTGGAGGTCATGTGGTACACAGGGCCAGCATGCAGTCTTCTACTCCAGGGTGGTCAACATGCAGCACACATGTTACAAGTGGCATAGGCTGTCTCTCTGTGTGGCCTGTGGCAGGTCAGGGAAAGGCTAGACGGCACAGTGGCAGATAGGACAGGAAACAAAGCAGAGCAGGAGATTGGTCAGGGGACATAAGGCAGAAAGCAGAACAGATTGGGCAGGGAGCACAGGGCAGAATATAGAAACCAGAGCAGCAGATTAAGTGGCACTCAGAGAGATAGAGAGTGTATGGGGTAATATGTGGCACCCAGGCCAAAAAGCTTGGCTCCCTCCATTCTACACTATGCAAGTCTCACAAAGAAACTGAGTGCCATGTGAGTGCAGTGAACTGTGCTGGCTGAAGTCTTTGTGGGTGATAATGCCTGCTCCAGTTGCATGCAGGCTGAAACAGTAGGTCAGGAAGGGAGCAAGCAATGACACAGACCACAAGATCCACATCTACATAGATCCTGTTCTAGCAACCCAACCATCTCACACAGAGGAGTTATAAAAAGCTTTGTTAGCTGAAATGTAAACCAGAGTAGGGATGCACACACAACCACACTTCCAGGGACATAGAACTGGAGTGGATACCCTGGGCAATTGAATCCAGTCTCTTGCTTTCTCAAGCAGTCATTAACTGAAGGATCCCTAAAATCACTCCTCTCCCACAGCTACAGGGGTCAATAACTGAAGTGCTTTAAAAGAAAAAATAAAAAAAACCTTTAACATGCACTGTGAACCATGAGAGCACTACTAGTGCCCCCCTGCTTCACTGATGGGAAAATGGTAGGTTAATAAGTGCTCAAAAGATCTTAGGAAAAGGGCCACATGCCACGGTATGGAGGAAGGCAACCCTCTCCCCACCCACTAGTCAGTATCAGCCTGACCAAGGGGACTGGCTCTGGGTTATAAAATGAACTGCACTTTCCCAACCTGTCCTCACTTGATCCACCTGATAAAACCTCATACTTTTGTAGATAGTGGATTTCTCCCAATAGGAAATCCTCTTTTCTGAATCCATATATCAGTAGCCAGAATATCAGAGAAGAAAGCAACAGCCATTCACAATTAGTGACCTTATTCTGATCCAGTCAAACATCTTGTTAGGAGTGGTTTGTTGGCAGGACACATGGAGGCCCAGTTATGAAATGAGGATGTGACTTGTCCTTTGCTGCATAAAATCAGAATGCCGTTCAGTTTTACGCAGTGGTTAATGGAATATAGAAACCTGGAACATAGCCTTAACAGAATCAAGTGGATGGGCGTTTGGGAAGCTAAGATACCTTCTTTCTTTTTCAGGTATGCGAGAAAGAGAAATTGCTGTCGGAAAGGAACCAGCTGAAAGCATGCATGGGAGAATTGTTAGATAATTTTTCGTGTCTTTCCCAAGAAGTGTGTAGGGATATGCAGAGCCCCGAACAGATCCAAGCCCTTCACCGATACTGCCCTGTTCTCAGGCCTATGGATCTACCAACAGCCACAAATATCGACCCTTCACCAGCTGGAGTAGAGCAAAACCTAGTGACATCCCAGTGTATTGGAGAAAGCATGCAGTGCTGCTCAGAGCAAAGCTCTGTGCAACTGGGAGCTCACTGGCTACCTAACAATGTTTCCGAAAATTGTACAGCTGGAAGAGGGCTGGACGGAGCTGACCAAGGTACTTACTCAGAAAGAGAGCTTCCTCTAGAACAGAGTAGCCAAACAGTGACAGTAGACTTCTGTCAGGAAATGACTGATAAATGTACAACGGATGAACAGCCTAGGAAAGATTACACCTAGTGACTTTTAACCTTACACCTGGTCAGGTGTTCTTCAGTCAGCCAGTGGCAGTGTTCATTTGTTGTCTAGAAGAACGTATTTGGTGCACACTACAGTGGTCTTAGCAGCAATACTGTTTTTAAGTATTCCCTCCTCTCTACAAGCAGGAGTTTTCTTCACAATGGTGCTATCCCTTGCTCAGGCAGGGAACTAAACAGTGGCAACACTGTCTGTTTTTGTATGTTGATTTCAATCTTAACAGGGATGGACATAACACCTCTGAGGACCCAACTGCAGCTTTTTTTTCTCAGTGGCCCATGTCACAAAACCCTAACTCAGGAATTTCCTCTGAATGTTCAATTTTTCATTGAAGACAGCCTCTTTACACATCAAAGTTTTATAGCTAATCTGTACATATTATATATAATATATATAAAGTATATATATCCATATGCAAAAGTCCCCTGCATGCCTCAATTTTTCTCATCCTACAACTGGAAACTTTCAGTTCTGTTGTATAAACAAGTTCCAACATTCCTTTTTTTTTTTTTTCGTGTCTTTGATGCTAGAACTAGTTTGGTAACTTGTTACATGATTTTTTCCCCCCTTTTGGTTCACAGTTCAGCAATATCATTCAGTTTGTACTTATTTATACAGTTTTAATGTTGGAAGCTTATTTGAGATGTTATTATAGACAACATATTTTTTTGGCACGGCAATTTCGTGCCATTTGAGCAATGTGGATTTATTTTATTTTCTTTCAGATACTGTACAATAATGGTCAACTTTGCCACTTGCACTGAGTTTCTGGTCAAACCTCTTTTCATAAATGAAGTTGTGACTTCAGTATAACTTGAGAATACTGTTTGCTTTATCATGTAAAGAAAATTATAAAGATTTAGCTAATAACAAAACACTCAGGAGATGATCATGTAGGAAAAACAGTCTTGCCAAATACTGAATTCACCATATGATGTGTAATAGCAAATCTGCTTGACTATTTTTTATATTTGTTTATTTCTGTTTCCCATGCAATGTTTAAGTGCTGTTAGTGATGCTTTTGGATTCCTATTGGGTAAGATACATTTGGGTCTTAAGACATTTTAAAAAAGGAAAATCTGACAAGTATTCCTAATTTGTATGTTAGGTCCTAATTCAAAGCCTACTGAAGTAAATGTCAATACCCACATTGACTTGAGTGAGATTTCTTGCAGGCCCCTAGCTTGTAGGCATTATTCACTTGGGTAGTCCATTGGCTCTAATTCTGCTTACATGCCCATTTCCCACAGATATTACTCCATGTACTTCAATGGACTTGCCTTTTGAGTGTCATAATCAAGCTCTTTCAAGTCAGTGGGACTGTTCTTTGTAGGAAACAGTTGCAAGATCAGGCCTATAATTGCAAAAGTGAAGTTAGTACTGTATCCCTAAAGAAACAAACCATATACTTTTCAATACCTTATTTGCTTGCTTACCCATTTAAGTGTTTGCTATAGGATCTTCTCATTTTAACAGCATTTGTCATCAGCACAAACGAGTCTAAAAGATCACGGTCTCAAAGGAGACTACTCAGTGAATTGGCTTAGTTGGAACTGTACTGAGTTTGTATCTCAAACAATCAAGTGATCAGTGAATCATGTCATGATTGTATGAGACAGCAGCTTTCCAAGCATAGCATCGGCATGTACAGTATAGATTTTTTTTAAAAACACCCTCATGTTTTTTATTATCATTATTATATATGTATTGAGTTTTATTTTGTGGTTCTTTGCCCTCACTTGTGCCAGCGTGTAATGGCTTTATCCCTGACAACAACACCCATACTCTACAGGTTGACATTGTTTGCTTTTGCTGCAAAACTGATCATCTGTGCACACCTGTTTAAAGAAGCAGCTTCTCACAAGTACTAAGTGACAAAATGTTTTGTGCTAACGTTTACACTAGAGGGGTGTCTTGGTGCTTTTTTGAGGCACTCAGTTAGATCAGCAGCTTATACTGGAGAAGGAATCAGCTCCCTTGCTCCATTGTATGTGTTTTAAGATTGTGCTTGCGGACCGTCACACAGTTGCCACAGTCTTGCTTTTTACCCTCTTCTCCCAAACGACCGTAGCTTGGCTACAGAGGAGGAAATGCATATAGCATGTGCCATGTTTGTTGAAAAATGTTTTTTCCGCATGTACAAAGAAAAATTAGTATATAATGTAGGATAATATTTATGTTTAAGTATTAATCATTTCTGTATAAAATCTTTATCTTTAAATGTTCAAAAATATACAAATGCCATAAATTCCTAATTCAAAAGGTTGAAGGACAGGGGAAAATCATCCCTTCTTTTAAATGATAGCGATTGAAATATACTTGGAATCTCCAGCCATTTTCTGCAAGTAATTGATTTAGCACCTGTTCCTGGAGAATCTGATTTTCCTTTGAATTCATTAACGTTGCAAAGCAGTTCCATGCTTCACAGAGAAGTTTTGTTTCTGTGAGACCATGGTAAAAGCTAGAATTTAAAACTAAATGTGAATGACATTTATAGTCATAGCTATTTTTTTTGATCAACTGACAGTATTTTAAAGATATTTCTGTTGCCTTTTTTATTTTTAAGTGACCTCTTATAAATATACATAGATATAGATATATATACACACCCCCATTGAAGTGTGTGTGTGTGTGTGTGTGTGTGTGTGTGTGGGTGTGTGTGTGTATATATATATATATATAGCTAGATAGTAGATAGAACATTTTATGAGTATAAAATACAAGTTTTAATTAGTTTCCTGACATGAGAATTTACTAATAACTCATGTGCAACTGGTACTCTTGACCTCATTCCAATGGTTAAAAATAACCCATCCATAGAACATGTTGTTCTCCATCTCTTTGGATTGACCTGGCTCAGACGGCTGCTGGGTCTCTTGACTTTCTTTTTCATGAGAACTGATATTTAAACCACTGCTCAAATAAGTCTCTCTCTTCAAGCTGTTTCAAGATATTTGATATCATTCTTTATCATTAGAAGTGACTAATTTGTGTCATTGCTTCCTGGATCTGTAGTCACATGTATTACCTTTTTTGGTTATGTTTTGTTTTGCTATTCTGAACCACATGGCTTTCAAAACTGTTATTCGGTTAACTTTGAAGGGAAACATTGAGGAGAATTAGCTTCAGAACTGGACACAAGTTGATGTATAAACATCTTGTAGTGCTGGTAGAACAACTAAAACAAATGACCAAAAAATTCATTAAAAAAAAAAGTTAATTGCTATATTTAGCAACTTCAAAGTTTTAGCCAATAACAAGCTTTATCTTTAAATAAGGATTGTGCAGTTTTATTTGCAAAGAAATCAGCAGGTTTTGCTCTGACATACTGCTATGAAATTCTGTGTTAGATGGGACTGGATTGTCATATTGAATGCTGCACTAATACAGCACGCATGTGAATCCTGGAGCATCTAGCTATGTCCGTTCTGCATCTAGTCCTCCTTTTTATTTACCTTAGTTCTACTTGTACTGCCAGAAAACCTCATTTCATTAGGCTTATTATGCTTTTGTCAGGTGAGTACTACACTATATAATGTATTTGTTTCTCTGCGTTATCTGGGGGTGCCTTGAATACAATTAAAGCTATTTGCAAGCTGATTCTGGAACAAAAAGGTAGCGCAAAAAAAAAGTCAGCCATGTTATCAGGACATCCCAGTATTTATATCACAGACTTCCTAACATATGATGACTCAGGCGTCAGAGTTTGATGCTGCAGTATAAACTATTATTTTATATATTGTACAAGTAATTTATGAAATGTCTTTCTAAGGGTATATGCTGCTTTTAAGATGCACTATATTTTTGGATCTAATCCTTGTATTTTTTTCCCAAGGAAGTAAAACATTGTGCTGCAGAGGTAAACCACAGTGATTAGTATGCCAACTGCTACTTCTCTTTAAAAGGGAGAGTGGGAACTGCATAGAGTAACTTTGCTGAATGATGTAACTGGCTGCCAGAGAAACGATTAATGTTGATAGTATGTTATTAGTTTTAAATTCAACATTTTGTCAAGTCTGTATTTTGTAAAGGCTTACAAAGAAGTCAAAACAAATATTTGTATAGTTAGATTTTAATATTGAACCTCATGATTGCCAATTCAAAAAACATACCTGCATGCCAGAGTGAGTGTAATCCTATAATATTATACAGTTGGACCCTTTAGGAAAAACCTGATGAAACGCTGCAATTCCAGCATCTACATAACATCCTCGCTGGTGTCATGTAATCCAACACTGTGCATGTGAAAAATAGAAATAAGGCTCAGCTTGGAGAATATAATTGTAGTATATTTTGCCATAAGATAATGTGGACATCCACCAAGCCTTCAAAACCTTGCAATCTGATTTATTTCCAGCCTTCCATGGTTCAGCTGATTGCTCCTCAATTACAACATGGGGAATCTCTTCACATTTTTCTGATTTAAAATATGGTGGGTGATGGCTATTTTAGTAAGTTCTCAAGTCTACATTTTGCATCTTTTTTAATATATATCTTTTAGGTTCTGTCTAGGGAAGGTTTTTCTTCAATAAGAGTAATGGTGGTGATGCTGTTGCCTAAGAGGATCTTCTGAGTATGGAGTGGCTTATTTTTATCTACCGTAAAGTATAACTAGAAACATTTAACATAAAGAATTTCTTAACATGTTAAGGTTGTATTGTAGTTCCTCTGTCATGGCAATCCAAGTTAATTTATACACACACATACACACACAGATGCACGTGTGTGTGTTTGTGTGTGCATAATTATAGCTAGTGTGTGCATACATTTTCCTGTTTATAATACGTATATGTGTATTTATAACACTGTTTGGAGTATTTCACGACTCCAGCATCAGATTTGATGCTGCAGAATACAATATATGTGTATATACATATGTGTGTTCAAATAATATGTGTACATATAAAAGATCTATTGTTGGTGGATTGTAGAATAATAAGTTATTCTCTGTAGTCTGAAAGTTAATGGCATTACTTGCAGTGAAAAAGTGTACAGTATTTTCCTACACTCCACCAAGATAGGTATTATTTATATCATGTTAAAACTAATGAGATGCTTTTTAATGTAATACACACATAATGCTGCCATTTTGGAAATAAAAACACTTTTGGCAGGGAAGAGTGCGTTTTTATAACTGTAACACAATTAGCCAAATCAAACAATAGATAAGCTAACAGTTGGGTGAATATCAATCTTCTTAGCTGTTTATGAAATAGTCCTTTGCATAGGTGTGATTTGCCACATGACTGAACACACATGTGGTTCAGAAATTGTTCCTTTGGACTAATTAAGGGCATGCAGAACATAAATGGCACATTGAAAAAAGTGGAAATAGCAGAATTGTCATAATTTGATTTCCTTGGAAGTAGGGACAGCACCAAAGTATGGATCCAGGCATCTCCCTTCACCCCCGACTTCTGGGAATGTCCAGAATCTGAATCTAAGCCCCAGATTTACCAAGGGGCTTATCTCCATCATAAGGCCAAAGCAACCACCTCAACATTTGTGGGTTGGAAGGGGGGAACGTTTTCATCATTTGGATTGCTGTGTCTCGGACCATTGTACTTACAATTTATTAAGACAGTGTTATCCTGCATTTGTGATATAATGGAAAGAATTGTGCATGTTTAAATACTGTTCTTTCTACTCTTGCTCTGATTGAAAATATCTGGATCCCTCAGACTAGCAGAAACAATACTAAACACTTTGGTGATCTTTGATGCTTTTTGCTTACCATTAATAGCAAGCATCACTTTTAATTTCAACGGTGGAAATGCCCTAAGAGTTTGTTCCAGAACCAGTTGGATACAAGTGCACCTCTAATCTATGCCTTACAAACTTCAGAGGCCATATTCAA